AGCTGAAAATGTTTCTGAACTGACTAAAGAACCCAAGACCTTTGCCAGAGACAAAGATCCCCTGTATTTGCACAGTTTGAGTTTCAGTTCTTACACAGTACACAATGGAATGGCTGGAATAAAAGTCTGGAGTAAGAAGTTCATTTGTTGTATTTCTAGACCAGATATTTTACCCTTTAAAAAGCAAAACACAAAGCAAACCACAGTATGGGGAAAGATGCAGCACATACAACATTTAGGATATGAGGAGATCAAAACCAGGGTAAAAGGCTTGTTTTAAAACACACTTTAGAGGACATTCTGAGACCTGGGTTAAATCTGGACAGTGGTGGTTACATGGTGCTCCCAAATGACTTATGAAGGAGCATCCCATGATCATGACATTGGACATGTGCACTGTTCTCGATTCCTTCTTTTGGAGAGTTTAAAGCCACTCTTACAGGTGCTCAGGAACAATATCTTGTATCTTGCTCAAATTGATGGAGAGGATTTCCCATCCTGACTCCAGCTCTGATTTCAGAGGACACAGTAGAGAGCAGTAAGATCAGACAAGAGTATAAAGATAGTAACACAACCTTTCTCTGATTTCTTTTTCACAGTGCATCTACTGAAGAGAACCCTGCAGAAATGTGAGAAGAATGGCTGGATGGAGCAAATTTCTGGGAAGGGCTTCAGTGGAACCTTTCAGCTTTGCTTCCCTTATTACCCCAGGTAAAGATCTGGTCTGTAAAATTATGTTCAGGAGTTTTGCACAGCTCAAGTATCAGAGCTGAAGATCATGAGCCAACCTCCTATTTACAGGGAAGTTGTGGAGGGTTTAATCACTGGTGAACTGCCACATTGTCATCCATATTCTGGATAATGGCATTACACGGGTGAACAGAAAGCTGACTTCATTAGGAAGGGAAACTTTTAAGGGCTCAGTGTTCTCAGGTAGTCTGTTGTGCTGATTTTGTTGCAAGTTGGGCTATTTCATTGTTCTGTGCTAAAACCAATTCACCTGAGCAGGGACTGGGGTGGGTTCTCCATGCCAGGATGCTCCTAAGGAGCAGGACCCAGATGTTCCTTCCTTAAGGGTGGAGAAGTGGGAGGAGGGAGGATGACCTAGTTTAGTTACTGAGTCTAAACCAGCCTTTCTTCTCCTGTGAGCTGATACTGTGCTGGGCCATGTGGAGACCTAGGATGAGGCCTTGGTGTCCCAGAAAGAGCCAAATGGCAGCACAGTCATTGAAGTGCCTGCTCCCCAGCCCCCTTTATTGCACATGTGAGCCCCCACAGCTTCAGCCATGCTTAGCTGCTGGGGTCTGATCCTGCCCCTTTGCTGTTCCTCTCCCTGGGTTCGCAGGGAAGGAGCAATGAGGGATAGGAAAAATGGAGAAATGGAGAAGGGACAGCTTAGGGCTGGTACGTTCCCAGGCTGTCGTGTTTCTGCCATTGCAGAGACTAAATAACCTTGGTTTGGGACAGCAGCAATCACAGAATTCCTGGGGGTATTTCTGGATTGGACTAAAGCTGTAACCTTAGGGGGAAGCTGCAGTGCCAGAGGAGAGCCAGTGTTACCCGGGGCTTGCTTACCCTGGAGTTGTGCCTTAGAAGCAAATCATGCCCTGACCAGACCCCTCTTGTAGCCCAGATGTGCTCTATCCAGAGAAGCAGCAGGATGAGGATTCTGAGGAATCTGATGAGGAAGAAGAGGAAGAATCTGAGGAGGAAGAAGAATCTGAAGAGGAAGAGTCTGAGGAGGAAGAGCCACCACCAAAGAAGAGGTATGGCAGCATGAGAGCTGTGTGGGCTCCTTTGGATGAAATAAATGTCTGTCACAGCTGTAGAGTGCTCAGGTGTGTGTGTGTTCTTGGTATGGTCACCTATCCACAGGTGTTGGCAGGAGTTTCTAATTATTCCTTATTCCAGAGGTACTGACCTCCCCCATTCCATAATTTGAAGCCTTCCCTTTTCTCCTCCAGATGAGAGAGAGCCTGTGTTTATTCTTTGCATTGCCTTTAGTCTCCTGCTTTAGAAAGTGTGATGTTTTGCATGGAAATTTTTATATTTATTTTTTCCTTAAAATAATTCATCCCTACAGTAATTATTTGCAGCTCTGTAGCCAGATATGAGACCAGCCTCACTCAGAATTTGGACTTAATATGAGTGTTGTTTGTTAAGTAATAAAATCCCATTTAGAGAGAGAGATAGTGCTTAGGGCTCTTAATTGTTCTGACAGCTGACTGATTCACTGTCATTATTTATATGTTTATTTGCCTAACAAAGGGGTTGTAAGCTGGCAGCTCTGTGGAGATGGGAAGTGCTCAGTGTAGAGCTACCAGAGGAGCTCTTGCTCTTTGGGATTTAGCTCATGGAATGTGCTGGCAAAGGACAGGGATGCCAAGATGTGCTTCATTTATGCAAATTGCTGACAGCAGCTCTGCTCTGGGTACCGTTTGTGCCTCCACTGAGTTTCTGTGCTGTCTCTTCCTGACAGGATGCAGAAGAGACCACCCCCCAAATCCCGGAGCAGGGCCCCTCCGATGAAGCGAAGAGAGTCCAAACCCAAGCCAAGGAAAACCCCCACCCCCCGCCGGGGCAAAGCAAAGCCCCCTCCCAAGGTCAAAACCCCTGCTAAGAAAGCCAAACCAGCAGCCCCAGCCATCAAGAAAGCCTCCAGTGGCAGCTCTTCTAAGAAACCAGCAGCCAGTGGAAGGAAGGAAGTGAAGCCCTCTGCCAAGGGCAAATCTACCATGAGGAAATCTCTCCGGGCAAAAAAGTAAAATGTTTCCAGTGTCAGGGAATCCCATGGTCAAATCCACAATCTTGTTTTATAAGTCAACGTGCATTTGTATTTTAGTTCTGATGCTTAAATACTTCTTTAATTTTTTTTTAATTTTTTTTTCTTGAATGATGGGGAAAAGCTGAAAACTAAATCAAACCAACCCGAGCATTCATTAGATCTCAATGCTGTGCCTCGTGCCTACCCCTCCCCTGGAACGAGTCATCTTTACTTTCTGCAATAATTTTAGGACTTTTCTAGGACGTCTCTAATCTGTACATTTATGGTGTTCCACGTGGGTTTCAGGGGGGAGGGTGGCTTTTAAAACAATTCTTCAAAGAAGATCTTTATATCTTTAGACAGCAGGAACAAGATGATTGGGGGAATGTGATTCTTTACTGAGAAGGTGCCATGGCAGAGGAGTCCTCCCTAGATCCCTGCATGCCGGGGTCCTTGGCGCTCCCATGAGGGAGCTGTGTACAGACAGCACTTGCACTGAGCCCCGAGGTGCTGCTCTCCTCAGCCATGGGCCCAGGGGTGGCTGCTGAGTTGGATCCTTGGCGTCTCCTGAGGGTCTGATGCCAGAGGGGCTCCAAAAGGGGCAGCTCTTGGTTAGGCGGGTGATTTGAATTAGTGTTTCCACACCACATCTGTTACCTTAAAACCAAAATATATCAAAGTCTTCTTGAATCCAACTTTGAAATGTTTTTAAGAGATGAAAAGCCTGAGTTTGTCACCTTTTGTTTACCCTTTTTTAAAGAGAAGTTGGAAAGCTATACAATTGCTAATGTAGAGATGTTGATAAGTGAAGAACATGCGGTTTGCTAAAATAAAATGAAACTAGATTCCAGGCCTGCTTTCTATGTCCATTCTCTCCTCGCCCCAGCTTCTCCTCCTGGAAAGGTAGAGAAGAGGGAATACAGTCACCACGGATTGCTGCAGAGGCAGATCTTTGTTCAAAGTCAGCATGATTTAGCCTGAGCCACCGCCAAGCTCTGTAGTTGGACCAACTCCTGACCTTTTTCTTCCTTGGTTTCTCTGGAGACAAAGGTGAGTGAGAAAAAAAAGCTCTGTTGCAACCTCTTGCTGGTCCTCTTCTCCCCTTATCACTGAGGACAAAAATCCCAGCTGAAACCTTCTCCCCCAGCCCTGCTCCACAGAGCAGCACCTGCCTTCAGAGCTCACCACCTCCCCGCTCTGCCAACCTGGGGCAGCGATGCCAATGGAACCTGACAGTCTCCAACGTGCTGCTGTAAAGAGCTGTGAGGAGGGGAGTTACACAGAAAGGGAGAAAACAGCTTCATTGAATTTATTCTTTTCAGCTGCTGTCTCAGTGTGCTACCTCTAGCTGGGAGTTAAAAAATTCCTGTAGAAATGGCCTAAATTGTTCCCAGCCCTGTAAGAAGGGTACAAACAGCAGGTTAGAAATCACAGCTGATGGGAAACAGAGTGAAAGCTCTGATCAAAGAATGATCCACAGGAATGTAAAGCAATTAGGAACATTAGTTAATGGCTTGTTCCTGGGGCTTCTTGTACCAAAGCCATGGGGTTTGTTGCCATTGTGGTGAGATGAATTGGAGAAGCTTTTCAGTGTTGGCATATTTATGGGGAAAAGGAGTCTTCACCCCAGTGCTGGCCTTTTTCAACCTCCCTCCTCCCAGTGGCATCCCCACACCAATAATCCAATGAGTATTTGTTAAAACACTGCTCTGGATGACACAGTTTTCTCACATCCAAGTAGGAGCACCTTGATTTAAGAGCTGTGCCAAAACCTTGGTCATCACCAGACTCTGGCTGTGGTTTGAATTAAGTGATTTCTGCACACCAAGCCATAAAAAGCCACAGGGCTGGTTGTATTTAATCCAAAGGAGTGGTCCTTTCTTCCCAGGAGCAGTGACTGGGATTGAATGGGCAAGTCTTTGCTGCCAGCAGAGCAAACGCTGTCTGTGGGGTTTGTGCCTGCTCTGCCCCTCACTCTTCCCCAGTCTCTGTTTCCTGGCCAGACTGGGCTCCATTATGTTGTTTCTTCAGCCCCATCTGTCCCTTTTTTTTCCTTCTACGGTTTCTCTGCTGTCGATGATGGGGTGGCTCTGCCATCGCAGCTCACAGTGTCTTGAAGCAGCTGGTGCTGGCAGTGGCCCAAGGGCTGAATGGTGCCGGTCAGACCCTTTTCCTCACACCCTTGGGATTGCTGGGGCACAAGACAGGGATTTTTGGATGCAGCGCCGAGGGATAGACCCCATCTCCTCCCCAGACTGCTGCTTTCCTATTGCAGGAGCCAAGCTCGTCTCTGGGACTGGGGGCAGCTTCCTTCAGCTGGCACGGAGGGTTTGAGGGAGGCTCTGGGTTACGTGGTTGCTCTGCAGTGAGGCCCTCTTCATTTTTATTCCAGCAAAAGCAGGCAGCAGTGGGCAAAACTCCACAGGGAATGTAGAAATTGGGTGAAAAGGGTCTAAGCATCAGGGCAGGGGGTGGCGAGCGAGCAGCCACGTGTGTACGTGTCAGGGTTAGAAATCGCTGCTCCGCTGGGCACGCCGGAGGAGACGGGAAAAGACGCAGAGAAAATCAGTTGCCGCCGCGTTTTCCAAAATCCCGAGCGAGTGCTCCTGCTCTCCGTCGCTTCCAAGAAACGGAGAGAACCGAGGAGGAAAATTGCGGTGATTCATCGCGGGCAGATCGGAGGCAGGAAATGAGAGTTCTCTGCCTGCCCCGTGCCCGGCGTGGGCTCCGTGGGCTCGGGCTCGCCGGGGCCTGGCTGGCGGCGAGGGCCTGACACCCACGGGTCGAGCATCCCTGCGCCGCGGCCGGAGGAGCTACCGGCGAGGGGAAAACGACCGGCGGAGGCCGAGAACCGGAGCAGCGGGAATTTTTCACCTGCGTTTCTCCGGAGCCATCCAAGCGAGAGCTGCCCGTGAGCCGGGGGGGATCCAGCGGGATGGAGGTCCCAGGGGATGCTTGGTGCCTGGTGTCACACATCACCTAAATCTGGGGGGGGGGGTCAGCATCCCTCCTCGGGGACCCCCAGGGTGGTCGGTGGGCTGGGGGCTCCATTGAGAAATGAAGCGTGGGAAAAGTGGGGCGGGGCTTGGGGGCTGCCTGTCCGCGGATTGGCTGGGGGAGGGGGGAGACCCCCAAATTGTGCCGGGAAGGAGAGGGGCCAACCTGCGCTTGTGATGGGCAGCGGCACCGCAGGGACCCCCGCACCGTTCGGATGCGAGCGGGGCAGCCGGACCCCCTCCCCCGTCACGCGTTTGCAGCAGCGGCTGCGGCGGGGCCCTGGGACACGAGCGGCGCCGGTCCCAGCCCGGCCGAAGGCTGCGCAGCACAGCCCCCCTTGGGGTGGCCGGAGAAAGGTCCGGCGCACTCCTCCATGGCTGCTCTGGACCAAAAAGCATCCCCAAACCTGCTGCCCTCATCGCTGGTGTTTTGGGATCACCCTTGGAGAGCTCCCGGGGTCTCGGTGCTGCTGCGTGGCAGGCGGGAAGTGGGATGGAGGATGGGAGGGGGAGAATGTGGGGGGACCCCAAAACCTTGCTGGAGTTCGGGATGTGAGACTGCATGCACCTCACCTGGGGTCTAGGGTGTATGTTCGGCATGCAGGGACTGCTTGGGTTTCATTTGGGGTGGAAGATGGGCACTGCATCCATCAGGTTTGGGGTGGAAATGTGGGAACCCTCTCATCCCTGTCGGGATCAGGACATGGGTGACTGCCTGCATGCTGCTTGGAGTGGGGACATGGGAGCCTGGACTGAACCTCAGGAACAGAAGATGGGGACCCTCACATCACCCGTGAGGTCAGGAGGCTGGAAGCCTTGTGTCGGGGCTGGGGCCAGGACCTGGGGACACCTGTACCGGGACCTGGGGACATCTGCATTGGCGTCAGGACTTGGGGAGCTCCGTGCAGGGGCTGCAGCATCTCCCCAGGGCTCAGAGGGCTGGAAACAGGGGACAGTGGGGACAGGTTGTGTCTGTCCCCTCCCTCCTCGCAGGGACAGTGACCAGGGGCCGGATTCAGGCTCTCCGTGTTTGCTCTAGCCCCATCACCGTGGAAGGCTCCGGATAACTGAGATGTGGCATCGGAGCTGCTTGACCCCATCCTGATCCAGCCTTCACCCCCAATCCTCGCTGCCATGAAGAGGAAGCCGGGGAATGGGCGGGGGCCGGACCCTGCGGCCCCCCAGCAGCGAGCCCGCTCTGTCACCAAGCCAGCAGAGGTGACTTACCCATGGCGGGGGCGGGGGGTGACACCCTGAGATGAGATTCGGGTGCTGTTGCACCCTCATGACTCCTCAAACCACCACCTCAGCAGGGGCCTGTTGCCCGGGGGAGCATCATGGGGGGCTGCTGCTGACACGAGTGGGGTTTTTGCCCCCCCAGTACGTGGGATCCTTCACGGTGGAGGAGCTGGACCTGCAGCAGCAAGCGGGGCGGGTGGAGGAGCAGCTGCAGGCGCTGAAGGTCGGGATCGACCACTACTCCCCTCGCTGGGAAACACAGGGGACCCCAAATAATCGGGGCACCCACAGGGGCACAGCCTCAGTGCCCCATCTCCCCCGGACAGGACTGTCCCAGGAGGAGGTTGGTGGTGCTGAGGTTCAGCTTGCAGGGGCTGAAGGTCTACGACGCCGATGGGGAGGTAGGGGGCTGGGGGGGGTCAAGGGGGGTGGGCAAGGGGTGCTGGGGCTTGGAGGCCTGAGTAGGAGGGTCAGGGATGTTGCAGGGGTGTTGGGAGGGTCAGGGGTGCTGGGGAGGAGGATGAGCGTTTCTGGGGAGGGGAGTCAGTGATGCTGGGAGGGGTCAGGGGTTTTGGAGGCCTGGTGAGGGGGCCAGGGGTGCTGGGGAAGGCGGGTCAGAGTCTGAGAAGTGGAGTCAGGGTAGCTGGGGTTGGAAGGTCACGGGTGCTGGGAACGGGGTCAGGAGTGCTGGGAGGAGGAGTGAGAAGTTCTCAGGGGGTCAGGGATACCGGGGAGGTGTGAGTGTTCTGCTGGAAAGGTGCTTGGGAGGGCTCTGCCTCTCTGAGCACTTCTTTTCTCTAGAGAAGCTGCTTTGTGTGTGCAAGCAGGGGTGCCCCTGGGGGGGCCCAGGGGTGCTGGGTGCCCCTGACCCCCGCCCCGTCCCGCAGACGCTGCTGATGGCACATGCTCTGCGCCGGATCCTGTACAGCACCTGGAGGCCCCCCGACCGCCAGTTCGCCTTCGTGGCCCGCAACCCCTACAGCCCCCCCAGCACCCTCTTCTGCCACCTCTTCGTGGGACTCCCGGGAGAGGTGGTGGCTCAGCCCCGCTCCACCCCCCAAAACACTTTTATTATTATTATTTTTAATATTTGCACGCAGCGTCTTTCACCTCCCCTAGGTCCAGACCCTGCACCTCCTGCTCTGCCGCTCCTTCCAGCTCTGCTACCTCCTGGCGCACCCCGAGGAGCAGGCGGGCGAGGGGGAGCAGCTCCCGGGGCCGGGGGTGCTGCGGGAGCCCCTCAACCCCGAGGAGGTGTCGCAAAATGTCAACGCCCTCGTGTCCTTTCGGCGCCTGCCCGCGCCCGGTGGCCTCGGCCCGCTGGGCACCGGGGTAGGTGCCCCTGCCCTGCCCGGCTGCTGCTCCTTTGCTCGTGTGTGTGCAGGGCATTCTCACACTTGGGGTCCTCACACCCAGGATTCTCACACCTGGGATTCTCACACACAGGATTCTCATACTTGGAGTCTTCACACCCAGGGTTCTCACACCTGGGATTCTCACACACGGGATTCTCATACCTGGAGTCTTCACACCCGGGATTTTCACACTTGGGGTACTCACACTTGGGGTACTCACACTTGGGGTTCTCACACCCGGGGTTCTCACACTTGAGGTTCTCACAGGGGTTTCCTGGCTCAGCATTTTGCACAAGTGCTTTGGCCCAGCCCATTTGTGCATGGGATCTTGTGGGGCTTTTCCTCATTCTGAGCTGGAAAGGACCCACAGGGATGATCAAAGTCCAGCTCCTGGCCCTGCACAGGACCGCCCCGTTTCTCTCACAGCAGTCTGTGAACGGTGCTTTAGTCACAGGCGTTTTTGCACAGCGTGTTCCCAAGCAGCTCTTGCACGGCCTTTTCTCGCATTTTGAGCAGCACACTGTCACACCACACATCATTACCTGGTGTCTTGCATGGCTTCCTTGCAGTTCCTCTTTGTGCAGCCTTTCTTTGCACAGTGCTGGGTGTGCAGTGCTCTGCACAACCTTTTCTTTTGAGGGTCGCACTTTGCAGGGTCCATCCTGCACAGCCCGGCCCCGCACGCTGCTCTGCTCAGCCTGTTTGAAACGGCCTTTCCCTGAGGGCCTTTCCTGCCATCGGCCAATCTGCACAGCTTTTACTTGCACAGCGATTTTGCAGGAGGTTTTACAGTGCCTTTTAAACTTGGCGTTTTTGCACAGCACTTTCCTTCCATGATATGCTTTTGTAGAACTTTTTTTACACAGCATTATTTCTCATAACTTTTCTACATGGCACTTTTTGCATGTTGGTTTGCACGGCTGTTTTGGTGTGGCATTTCTGGCAGAAATGTCTACACGGTAAAAATGCTTTTCACAGCTCTTTTGGCACTGTGTTTTTGCACTGCGTGGTGATTTTTTGAATGGCATTTTTCCACAGTGTTCTGCATGGCATTTCTTCTACCCATCATTTTTTTGCACTGCATTTTTCCCCGCGGTGTTTTGTACAACTTTTTTTTTTCTTTCTGGTTTTTTTTTGTTTTGTTTTGTTTTTGTTTTTGTTTTTGTTTTTTGCATGGTGTTTTGCACAGCTTTTTTGGTGTCGCGTCCTTTGGATAGCATTTTTCCGTGTGGTGTTTCACCTGACATTCCCCACGGCCAGAGCCCCCAGGCCACTCTCACAGCCTGTCCATCCCCCAGGACCGGCGGTCGGAGGTGGAGGGCAGAGCCTGGCGCCCAGGGAACCCCTACTGCTCGCCGGTGCTGGTGCGCAAGAAAGCCATCCGGAGCAAAGTGCTGCGCTCGGGAGCCTACCGGGACTGCGGGGGCGAGGGACAGCTCCACCAGCAGCCGCGCGACGCCGGTGAGTGCCGGGGGGAAACTGAGGCACGGGGACACACGGTACCACGAGTGTTTGGGAGCCAAGAGGGGATTAACGGGCTCCCGCAGCGGCGGCAGGAGGGGAAAGCAAAGGAGCGAGGAGCTTGGCCTTCCTGCCCGAAAACGAGAGCGTCCTCGCCGAGAGCGTGTGGTCCTTCGCCGGCATCGCCAGGTGAGTGCGTGTGTGCGAGCACCTGATCCTCGGCACGCACAGCCCTGCCCTGCCCCAGCCCGGCTCCTGCCCGCCCTGGTCCTGCCCCAGCCCCGCCTCGTCCCCAGGGCCGCCGGGGTCGCGCTGCTGCGGCGGGACGTGCCCGGCTCCTTCGTGCTGCGCGCCGAGCCCGGGCTGCCCAAGCGCTGGTGCCTGTGGGTGCGGGCGCCCTGCGGCGTGGTGTGCTACGGCGTGCTCCGCACACAGCAGGGCAGGTTCTGCGTGGAGGTGAGCCCGGGCTGCGGCGGGTCCGGTGCGGGGGCTGAGCCGGGGAGGCGCACCGGGTGTGGGTGCAGAGGGGCGCGGTGTGCCTCGGTGCATTTGGTGTGCCCATCATGCACGGATGTGTGTGCACACCGTTTACGTGGTACTCTGTGCGTGTCTGGAGAACCCGTGCGCGGGTGCGCTGGCGCTGTAAGTGCATTTGTGCCTTGCGCCGGTGTGTTGGTGCGCCAGGACGGGGATGCGCTGCTGTGCGCACGCACCTAATGCACCGCGTAAGCGCACTTGCGGTGCTTGTGCATGGCTGCACTGGTGCCTTGGCGCAGGGATGCACCAAGCTGGGCTCGGGTGCAGGTGTGGGTGCACACACAGGGGTGTGGGTGCGTGGGCACATTGATACACAGGTGCTTTGGGGTACAGGTGTATCTGGGCACGGCACACAGGTACCCCTGGGCGTGGGTGCACTGGCACATCCACCCTTGGGTGTGTAACACGCCTGAGTTTTGGGTGCACTAATGCCCAGGTATGTGATGCACAAGTGCTCTGGTGTGCATTTGGTCCCCCAGCCAGACCAAGGTGCTTTGGTCCGTGCGTGTGTCTGGGTGTACCTGGCACACGCAGCCCCCAGTACCCACGCGGGGTGCGGGGCGTGCAGGCTGTGCTGCACTCACACCCTCACCTGTGCCCTGGTGCGTGGGTACCTTGTCTCTGTGGATGCCTGCTGCAGAGCCCGGGGTGTGCGAGGTGCGTGGGTGTGCTGGCACACGGGCACGCCGGGATTTGCTGCGTGGGCACACTCAGTTCAGGGGTGCAGGGGTGTGTGGGGGGCACAGCCTGCACGGAGGGGGCTCATCTCTCCCTCTCTCCTCTCTCCCGACGGCAGCACTCCAACGCCGAGTTCGCCAGCGTGGCCGCTCTCCTGGCCCACTACTCGGGGCCACCGGGGGGCTGCTTCTGCCGCCTGGCCCCCGGCCGACGCAACCCCGGCTACGAGGAGCGGGACCCCGGCGGCGGGGCCAGCGCCGGGGCGGGGGAGGCCGCCTGGGCCCCCGCCGCCCCCACCGGGGTGCAGCACGATCGGGGGTAGGCCCGGCCCCCTCCCCGCGCACGGCTGCCCCCGAGACCCCCGGCTTCCACTCGCTGCCCGCCTTATCCCCCTGGCCGGCGCCTCCCACAATAAAGGCTCTCGTGCATCGGAGCAGGGCTCGGCTGGATGCTCACACTCGCCCACGCGGGACGCGCCGCACACCGGAGTGCTCACACCCATGAGCTCACACCGGAGTGCTCACACCCGTGAGCTCACACCCGTGTGCTCACGATCTCTGGCCCAGGCACCGCACGAACTCGCACTCATGCGACTGCACCGCGCGTTCGGGCTCCTGCACGCTCCCGCGCTGCTGCAGCGCTGCACTGGTGCTCGCGGGAGGTTGCACACCCACGTGGCCACTCAGCCTCGCCTGCACACGCAGGGGCCACAGCTGGGCACTGCTGCCATCGCACAGTCATAGCTCTGTCCTGGTGCAGCCCCCATTGCACACCTGTCACACCCACTGCACACCTGTCCTCGTGCACTCCCGTTGTACACCTGTCCTCGTGCACCCCCCTTTTCACACCTATCACCCCATTGCGCAACCCCATTGCACACCTGTCCTCATGCATCCCTCCCTGCACACCTGTCCTCGTGCACCCCCCTTTTCACACCTGTCACCCCATTGCACACCTGTTCTCGTGCACACCCCATTGCACACCTGTCCTCGTGCACACCTGTCCTCGTGCACCCCCATTGCACACCTGTTCCCGTGCGCCCCCATTGCACACCTGTCCTCGTGCACACCTGTCCTCGTGAACACCTGTCCTCGCGCACACCCACTGCACACCTGTCCTCGTGCACCCCCCTTTGCACACTTGTCACCCCATTGCACACCTGTCCTCGTGCACACCTGTCCTCGCGCACACCCCGCACACGTGCGCGCGCCCCCGCCGCCCGCGCGCCCCCGGCGGTCACGTGACGCGGCGGGCGGGGTCTCGCTCCCGGCGCGGCCCCGGTGGCCGCGCGCGGTCCCTCGCGCATGCGCAGGGCCGCCCCCCGCCGCCGTGCCCTGAGGGCTCCGTGCGCGCCTCCGGCCAGCGCGGCGCCGGCGGGGTCACCTCCGGTTTTGCCTCGCTCAGTCCGCTTTGGGCGTGTCTCGGCTCCCAAAAGTTACCTCTGGGTTCCTTACCCTTGGGTTTCCCACCCTTCAGCTTCCCCTCAGGGTTTCCCTCACAAACCCTCCCTTCAGGTTTCCTTCTCCCGAGCTGCCCTAATTCCCCCTCAGACCTTGTTCCCAGCTTTCCCTGCATCCCTCCCCAGCTCTTTTTCTCCATACTTTCCCCTTCCCCCCCAGCCTCCCTCTCTCGGGGTCCTTCCCCTGCGTGCCCCCAGTGAGGGGTAAATGCGTCCCTCCCACAAGGGGTGCAGATGCCCGGGGTTAGGCTGACCCAGCCCCCGGTGCCCCCCAGTCCCACCGAGTGAGTGCGTGTGGGGCTGGTCTGGATGGGTGGCGTGACTGTGGGGGGAGTCTGACCCCAGTGTGTGTGTGTGTTACTGACCCCCATGTCTGTGACTGACCCCCGTGTCTGTCACTGACCCTGCTGTGTGTCACTGACACCCATGTTTGTCACTGACCCCAGTATGTGTGTGTTACTGACCCCCATGTCTGTCACTGACCCCTGTGTCTGTCACTGATACCGCTGTGTGTCACTGACCCCAGTGTGTGTGACTGACCCTGCTGTGTGTCACTGACCTCCATGTTTGTCACTGACCCCAGTATGTGTGTGTTACTGACCCCCATGTCTGTCACTGACACCAGTGTGTGTGTTGCTGACCCCCTTGTGTGTCACTGACCCTGCTTCATGTGAGTGACCCCCGTGTGACTGACCCCAGTGTGTGTGTGTGTTACTGACCCCCATGTCTGTGACTGACCCCTGTGTCTGTCACTGATCCCGCTGTCTGTGACTGACCCTGCTGTGTGTCACTGACCCTGCTGTGTGTCGCTGACCCCCGTGTGTATCACTGACCCGCTGTGTGTCGCTGACCCCCATGTCTGTCACTGACCCCCGTGTGTCACTGACCCGCTGTGGGGGTGGCCAGGGTGATGGCCGCAGAGGCAGTGAAGGTGGCCATGCGCTGCTGGCCGCTGAGTGGGCGTGAGGGGGCCCTGGGGTGCCGAGCCATTGTCGGTGTGGACAGTGCGCGGGGCCGGAACCTCGTGCAGAACCCCGTGGAGCCCCCAGCACTTCTCCTCGGATGGGGAGCACAGCACCAAGCACATCTACAACGAGATCGCCCAGCCGCTGGTGGAGGTCAGTGCACACCCAGGGCAGCCCGCACAGCCAGGGGCAGCAGCAGTTTTGGGCACCACAATGGAAGAAGGAGTTCCAGGAACCTTTGGACAATGCTCTCAGGCACAGGGTGGGATTGTTGGAGTGTCCGTGCAGGGCCATGAGTTGGACTCTGATCCTTGTGGATCCCTTCCAGGTGAGGATATTCTGTGAACACATAGTTTGGGACAGAGGCTGAGGAATTTTACAGGTGATCCCTAAGTGAAGCAGGATCTGCTTGACCTTCCCCATGCTGGAAGGTGTCCCTGCCCACAGCAGAGTGGTGGAATGAGATGAACTTTAAGGTCCCTCCCAACCCAAACCATTTGGGATTCTCTTATTTATGGGCAGAAAGCCCTGTGCACTTCTTCAAGAGGTTTAGCTACAAGGCTGGGGAGCAGAGGAGAGCTGACAGTGTCACAGAAATAGTCTGAGAAATTGGGAAGAAACAAAACTTTGTTAGCAGCTAGCAGGGCACTGAGGAGAGAGTTACATTTAATTGTTTTAGGTGGATGTTTATATCATAGAATCCCAGACAGGTTTGGGTGGGAAGGGACCTTAAGACTCATCCCATTCCACCCCCTGCCATGGGCTGGGACACCTTCCACTGTCCCAGGCTGCTCCAAGCCCTGTCCAGCCTGGCCTTGGACACCTCCAGGGATCCAGGGGCAGCCACAGCTGCTCTGGTACCAAACTGATGATTTTAGAGACATTTTTACTGTCAAGTGGGAAACCTTCTTAAAGAAGACAGGGAACCTCAGCCTGGCTTAGACTGGCAAAAGGATAGGGGATCCATTTGTTTCCTTGTTAGCAGATCAGCACAGGAAACAGGTGAGGTGAGAACTTGTTAAGCAAAAAAAGACCAACCTCCCCCCTGCCAAAAGTTTTGTTAGAAGTGGTAACATGGATTAAATGACTTGTTGATGGTTTTAAGATGGAAGTTCCTGATCATGAGAACAAGCAGGACTAGAAACAGATATTTGAATAATAGGTTCTTTTTTTTTCTTATTTAAAACTTAAGAAATCCAGTTATTTTTTTTCTTCCTACCACACTTCTCTGAAACAAGGACAAGTGACAGTGAGCAGCTTGTCAAGCAAAAATTATTCAAAGCCAGAGACCATCCCTTTGGCCACCCCACAACCAACTATTGTTCTATTTGTCTCTTTGAATTTCGTAAGTTTTTATGCCCTATGACAAAAATATTATAGTTTTCTAAGTGCTGGTGTTGTCAACTGCTTTTCAACACCTGCACTGCTTCAAGATTCCCTGTTTTGAGAGAAAAACATTGATTTATATGCTAATTTTATAATTGCTATACTCTGATGGCATGTGAAGATTTAAGCATCTGTTTGATGTTTACTTCCAGCTCTTCCTTTAAAAATACCTTTTAGGGGGTGGGAATGCATCTGGACAATGTTTTTCCAGTTAGGCAAAGAAGATGGTTGTTTTCTTTGGTTTTCCCCCATTTCCAGGGTGTCATGGAAGGCTACAATGGCACCATCTGTGCCTATAGCCAGGCTGTCAGTGGGAAGTCCTTCACCATGCAGGGAGCTGTGGATCCTTCCTCACAGAAAGGGATCATTCCCAGGGCATTTGAACACATCTTTGAGAGTGTACAGGTGGGTGTGAAAGAGATCCTCTTGGATCTTGTTTTGCTAGAAACACTTTGGTGTGCTGTGCCAAGAAGTGAGTGCTGATGGCATGAAGTGTGAATGGGGACAGGTTTGGGGTGCACTGCTCCTCATCCTCAAGCTGAGGCCTGTGCATAGTCAGATGAACTGCACCCTCGTGCCAGGTGACATTGTGGACTCCAGGTGTGGAAGGACCAGAAGCCCCATGCAGTGAGTGTGTTGAGTGGTTCCACCTGGAGTCAATGGCAGGGGAGGTTGGATGAGGTGCTGAAGGGTGCTGGGCACCCAGCTGTGGGAGGGACTCCCTGGGCTGCCTGTGCTGTGCAGCCTCACCCCAAATCCTCCTTGTGCTCTGCAGTGTGCTGAAAACCCAAAATCCTCCCTGTGCTTTGCAGTGTGCTGAAAACACCAGGTTCCTACTGAGAGCCTCCTACCTGGAGATCTACAATGAGGACATAGAGACCTTCTAGGAGCTGATACCAACAGAAGCTGGAGGTGAGGTGGGCTCACTGTGTCTTAATTAAGTGCTTTAATTAGCTCAGATGGGTGTTACCACAAGTTACTGAAGTGACACAAAGGTGTGTCAGAAGCTTGAGTGCCAGAATATGAAGTTACATGAGAAATATGGAAGCTAAGAGGGACTTTTGAGGGACTTTAGTGAAAGTTTAGGAATTTTCTCCATGCAGTTGGAGACATGTCCAGTGTATCCCACATGATAGTGGCTGATTGCTCAGCAGCAGCTCTGTGAAAATCCTTCACTGGACAAGGATAGAATAAAGTGCTCATGGGGCAATTTCTTCCTCATCCTTTTCATCTTGTGCTTGTCTCTAAAGCAAGAGGATTCTGGGCCTTATAAATGTTTAATCTGATCTAGTGGAGCCATGGATGATCTCTTTATCTGCCTAAATCAAAAAGACTGATCCTTTTTGAGGGCACACAGCAGATATTAATCACAATGGGAACACATGTGACATCTACAGGACCATAGGAGGGTAAACTCTCCCAAAATCCTAACCAGGGGGCTGATCTTTATAACATTTACCTCCTGTTGGCTTTGCAGATCCTTTTGTTTGTATTCCTGGAGGGATCTAGAAATTTGTCCCAATTTACTTCTTTGCAGGCCTGCCCCGGTGTACAAAACCAAGGCAGTAACAGCTTGCTGCACTCTGGGATGGCAAAGACCCAAACTGCTGTACAGGACAGGTATTTCTAACAGGTTTCTTGCTTTAAGGCAGGCAAACCCCTGTCTGCTCCATGTTCCAAGCGTGCTTTGCCTGTCTCCTGCAGAGGGAGAGTGGGAGAAGGGGACTTCTTGCTGCAGTTTCCTCTCCTTTGTTCCACCGCGGCGGTGACACGGATTTCCATGGCGACGCGGATGGCGCTGGGCAGGCAGGAGCTGGGCAGAGCAGTTTCCAGGGTAACTCTGTCACGCTGCCTGTTGCTGCCTCCACTGAGTACTTCAGGGAGTGTGTCCTGCCGAAATAAATCCCAGGCTGCCCCACTGCATTCCTCTGAGCCCCCCAGTTCCCCCAGAACCCCAGTTGTGCTCATTCCTTTGCCTTTCACCTCAGTGACTGCAGCCATGTCCTCGGTCAGGTGTTCCTCAGGGATTCTGCAACACCCCCAGACAGAGCCAGGCCAGTCCTGGGGTTCTCAGTAGCACAGAGCAGTCACAGTCTATGAACACTGCCTGTGACTGTACCTGGATTCATCCCAGGCATTGTGGCTTTGGAACAAGGATAAATCCCACCCAGTTAAGTGTTCAGCCACTTTTGCTCTGTTCTGTGGGGTTTTTTTTAACAGCAAACGCTGTTTTACATCATTTCTTGTGAGCATCACTGAAGTATCTGAGCCTCCTCTTTGGAAGTCACAGTGCCAAATGTGGTCTCTGTTGCTCTGTCATGACAACTATATTTCAATATCCCAGCTGACAAGATAAAGATAATTTTGGTGATGAACTTAGCAGATGTGGGGTGTAACAGAGCTGTGGAAAATTCATGTAGCTCATTTAAAATTCCCATTGTGGAGGGGGCTGGTGTAGGAGTGCAGGGATCTCTGGATTATTTTGTATTTTTATGTAGGTTTGATGGGTAACTCAAAATTTTGGATATTTCCATTGCTTATTAACATTCATGAAACTTTTCATCTGTGCAATTGATAATTACTGAGAAGATGCTGTTGGGTATTTAATTCTCTGTCTCAACCCAGGGTCCCAAAGACAATTCCTGTTAATTTAAAAATTAATTAATGTGGAGAAAAATGGTGACAGTTCACCTGCGTGTGATGAGTGGTACTTTGGGAATGTTGTCAGTGATCTCAAGCCACCCACTCAGAGCAGAGAGTTCAGCAAAGCACCAGGAACAATATCTGGGAATATTGTATCTGTGCTTTGATATTAAAAAAAGCTTCCTATGACTGAGGAGATCTTACAGCCTTTGCCATAATAGGTGAGATGTGTTTTGATTCTTGTTTAAAATATGCAGCTTAATAATAGAGAAGGTGGAGGGTGGATAGAAACCAGGTTCCCCATGGCCTGGGGGATGTCTGATTCAATCAGCAACTTTTAACTTGAATTCTCTGAGCTATGAAGAGGGTTCTCTCTTTTTCTCCTCCTTCAGAAACCAGGCTTTTTGCTGTTTTTGTCATACTGCAGTTTAATTTCATGTAGCTCTCAAGCTTCCAGGCCATTCCCAGTGTAATTTTCCACTGTTTCAGTGGCCCTTGTTGTGACCAGACAATGGACTGACAGGGAATTAGGGAAGATCTTTAGACTGCTGCAGACATTTTAGTAGGAGTCTGGGGACCTTCTCACACCATGGGAACTAGTCCATGAACTCTGAGCTGGAAACAAACAGCCTCGGTGGGTAAAAGGACTGGCAAGAACCAACACAGCTTTTTGATAGCCTGGCAGTGTTTACATGAGCCAAGGGAAGAAGGGAAAGGGTTAGGAAACCTATTTTTTGTGGCTGCCCACTCACCCCAGCACTCAGAAAGGATGAGAGGGTGCTCTCTTTAAACCCCATGTGTTTTTACTCTGTTTTCCCATATTTTGACACATGAGAATGAGCTGGAGTGAAGCAACTTTGCTCAGCAGCAAACATTCAATTCCACAGTTACCAGTCTGTTGCAACAGAAGTATCCTGGGACAAGAGATTTTAGAGATTTTGGTGTTTACCTGTGAACTTTCAACTTTTCTCACGCATCAGATTGTTCATTGCTCATGTTTAGGTATTGTCCAGAGCTGTAAAACAAAACTCTGACTCCTTTTGAGGCCAGGATTTGTGGAAGTCTCCCTTGAAAAGGGTGGATTGAGTTAAAATCTCAGTGCTTTCTGTGCTTGGAATGCTAAAGGAGCTCTTCCCTTGAATTTGGGTTGCAATCTTATGGAGTATTTTGGATGTGGACATCCAAGAGTGTGGTCCAGGACTTAGGACAGCAGTTCCAGGAATGTGTGCCCAAGTCTTTGCTCTGTGTGAGGCTGGGAAAGGTAAGGAGCCAGTGAAAGTGCAGGGCTCCTAAAGGAACCAGGTACACTCTGTGTTCCTCACAGGGACCCTGTGCCATCACACTGTTCCAGCCTCAAATGCTGACCAGGGTAGGTATTCCATGTGTGAGGTGTGTCCAGGCAGCTGGGCAGCCTCAGCTCAATCTGCTCCTGCCTTAAAGTGATGGGAATGGCACCAGCTCACCGTGTTTGACTCCTCATCTGGGGCGTTTGGGCCGTGGGCAGGGACATGTTCCACTATCTCAGGCTGCTCCAAGCCCTGTCCAGCCTGGCCTTGGACACTTCCAGGGACCCAGGGGTAGCCACAGCTTCTGTGGGCCAAGGCCTGCCCATCCTCACAGGAAAGGATTTCTGTGACATTCACAGAATTCGCATTCTCTGGACAGAGACATAATTCTGTCTCTCAGGAGAAGCACAGAGAGAAGAAGAGAAAACAATCTTTATCTCTGTTCCTTTGTTTTCCCTATGTGGAATGTGGTATGGAGATCGTTCACCTGCAGTGATTGCTGGGTTGGATTCTGGTGAAGGTTGTTTGGGTTCAGTGACCAATCAGGTCCAGCTGTGCCTTGAACTCTCAGCAGAGGAATGAGTTTATTAGTTAGGGAAGTAAGAATTAAGTTTGTAGAATAGTATAGTATCTCTTTAAATAGTATACTAATGTATATAAATAGTATATTATAGTATAATTTTAATAAAGCTATCCTTCAGCCTTCTGATCTGGAGCCAGGCACCATCATTTCTTCCTGTTGGGGGTCACATTGATTTCTGATAGATTTCTGTATATCTCATCTAAATTTCCCCTCATGGAACAAACTGAGGAGGAAAAAAGTTGTATAAACTCATGGTCTGATCATGTTACTTGTAGAGGACTTCAGCTGAAATTGTAAATACTGTTGAAATATATGGAACGGGTGGGGGGGGTGGGGGGGCATGTGTGTTCAGAGCTCACTGAGAGAGCAAGAACAGGCATGAATTTTTGCTGTGAATCCTGTCGAGAAAAACACTAAAATGTGCAGTGTTTAGATTAAGTAGATATTTGCTTACTTCAGGGAGTCAGGGCCCAAAGCAGACAAAGAACAGGGCTGGAACAGGACATGTTGCCAAGAGAATCCTGCGAGGGCAGGATCCCCTCAGGGCTGCCAAACTCAACTTGCTGGATCTGGCAGGAAGCGAGAGACAGGCAAGGACTGGTGCCACAGGGGAGGGGCTCAAAGAGGCCACTAAAACCTTTCTCAGTCTGTCCTGGGCAACATCATCTCAGCCCTGGTGGATGGCAGGTGCAGACACGTTCCCTTCTGAGACTCCAAGCTGACCAGGCTGCTCCAGGGCTCCCTGGGGAGGAACACCAGGACCCTGATGGTGGCGTGCATGTCCCAGGCTGACGACAGCTACGAGGAAAGCCTCAGCACCTTGCACTACACAAGTCAGGCCAGGAACATCAGGAACAAGCCCTGCATCAATGAGGACCCCAAGGATGCTCTGCTGAGGAAGTACCAGGAGGAGATTAAGAAGCTGAAGGTCATTATGGCTAAACAGATGGGCATGAGTGACTTGTCAGGTAGGAGCACCTTTACTGGCTGCAGAGATGCCAAAAAAGAGGGTTTTACACATAAAATGTTAGCTAAATTTTCCCTCAACCTTTGCCTTACCTATTAGAGGAAGAATTCTCCATTCTGGTTACAGACTTTTCCTTCACTGTTGCTGAATTGACCTTATCCTACTGGGATGGCAAAGACCATCTCAATAATGCAGTGTTTTCAATAGTCACAAATTCTGTTAGAAAAGGCTGACATGATTCAAATCCTTGGTTATTTTTGGTGATTGTGGCTAGAATTTGGTCAATTGCAGAAGAGAGGTTTCAGCAGGAAGAACAAAAATGAGCTGCAAAAGAAATAATACTGTAAAATTCTTTATTAAATATATTTATATTTATATTTTAATATATGCATGTATGTTTTCAAAGAAAGCATTCAACCTCTCTTCTCTTACAGTGTATATTTTTGACACTACAAGAGAAGTTTTGCCCTCCTTATAGCAGTGCTTGAGGACTCAGCCCTGCCTCAGCACATGTGCTCTGTCCTCTGGAGCAGGAATAGGAAATGTAGGAGCAAATATAGGGAAGAGCAGTCTTTAGGGAGCTGATCACCTTTGGAGAATTAGCCCCTAAAAAAGGGCAATTTTCAGCAGGGGAATAAGGCTGTAGGATGATTTTTTTTTTCCCCTAGAAAGAGCTGTGAAGAAAGAAGGTAATTTCCTTGCACTTTTCATCTTCCCTTTTATCTCCCAAATCTGTAGCATAGCCCTGGAAACAAGTCCTATTTTTCTTTATATAAATACCATACAATTGCATCCACTTCTATATTTCCTTGAAGCTGGAACCTCTCCCTCTCTCCCCACACCTCTGGAGCCCGGGCCAGCGGCGTTTTGGCAGCGAGCATAGTTTGAAGGAGCACAGGGGTTGCCATGTTCTTTCCTGGCACCCAGCTTCTTTGTTCTCTTTCCAGGAATTCTGCAGACAATCCCACCCAGTGACTGTGAGTGATTTTTATTTCTACTTTGCTTTGTAGGGCTTCTGCCTGCTGAGGCTGCTCACCTGGGAGCAAATCCAGCTCCCTGCCTCAAACCCCAGGTGGATCTGGAAGCAGAGAAGCAGCTGATCAGAGAAGTAAGTTGGGAACAGATATCCCAGAGTGGCTTTGACTAAAACCTTTTTCATAGTAATCATTACAAATATGATTCAGCCTTTCTAGAACACTTCTCTTTTTCTATTTTTCTCTATTTTAATCCTTGGACTTCTGTGAACAGACCATGTGTTATGGAGGCCATGTGCCTTATTATAACCCACTTCTTGTTCCCACCTCCCTCCCTGGGGATGGATTGGAATGGATTCCCAGGAAGAATTTTTGGAAGAACTACCTGTGAAATTATCAGAAAAGGGAGGAATAGAGTTGAGGAAAGCAGTAGTCAAAGGTGTTAGGAACAGGACAAAGATGAAAAAGAGTAGAGAACAGAGAGGAAAAAGAGGACTACAGAGCCAGGAGGAGTCAGAGGGAAACAAAACTCTCTCCTTGCTCTTTAGAAAGTACATTCCAGGGCATCACAACCAGCCAAGGCAGCCGTTTTTAGGGCTGAACAGTCACTTTCATCAATAACAATCACTTCTGTGTCAACTTAAGTCACAGAAAAAGTCCATGAATACTGGTGGTGGAGTTGTATTGGGATGGACATAAGGTGTGACCTGGAATGGACCTGGGTGTGACCTCGGGAACAGTCACAGGACTGTTGCTATGCCTTGCAGGAGTTCCAGGAGAGGCTGGCCCAGCTCCAGGCCAGCTACCAAGCAGAGCAGGACAAGGAGCAAGCCTGGAGAAGGACATCAGCAGCCTGAGGGATGGCTTTGGTCTCAAGGTGTCTGTAATGCAGGATCTCCTCAGGAAGGAAGCAGGTGTGGAGGCTGTGCAGCCCAACCCAGGTTCCCTCGGGAGCAGGGACTGTTTTTGCACTCAGATCTGTGGCAGCCACTGCAGCCTTTAAAAGGCAGCAAGTGCTGCCTGGCAGCAGCAGTCCCTGCTCTCAACCCACCCTCATCCACAGCAGGAGCAGGGACTCTGCCTCTCCTGGACCAGATTTAAGACTCTGTCCCAGCTTTGTCCTCTTCCCTACACCCCTGACTTCTTTCTCTGTTGGGATCAGCCTGACCCTGACCCAACCCTGGAAGCCTTGAAGCAATGAAAAGCCTCATTTTTGAGTAAAACACCTGCTTTTTGCCCACGTAGCAGAGTTCCCCCTGCTGAGCGTGTCTCTGGAGCAGAGGTCACTGCTCTGCCCCCTTCCCCCTGGACTCTCGTTCCCGAGGCCGGGGTGGCTGCCGCAGTCTCCTCCTCGGTATGCAAATGTGCTGCAGCACTTGCTCTCCCGGTGGATTATCCACACCATCGCTCACTGCAAAGCAGATATTCCTCTCACATCCTAGAAGCTGCCTCCTCTCCCTCTCCATTACTGCTTTTTATGGACACCTGCAGTACCTCAGAGCATGGTTTGCCATGTGCTCATACAGCACTTATCACCCACTAGCAATTTGTGAACCTGTGTTCTTCATTTTTGGTGCTATCACTTTTTGAGGTGTAGGTTAAGAGGTTCTTTATTTCTTCCCCCTCTGATTACAAATGTGCACCCCCAGCCTCTGAAATGGATTCTTTTTTGGAGCCAGGCTCTCCCAGCCCTGTACAATCTGCATTCCTTACCCAATACACCCTCTCAGTGTTTCATGGTTTTTACTGACCAGCAAAAGCAGGTGAATGACAGCCGTTTTCCTTCTAGACACATAATTTCTAGCTTTGGGGGAAGGCTTTTGGAAATGGTTTCACAGATTTATGTCTAGTTTTGCACAGTTCATTTTCAGCATTGTGGGGATTTCCTCTTTTCAGCTGATATAGGGACTAGAACAACCTCTGATCACACACCTCCATATGAACATGCAGAAGAGCCAACATCAGCCCAGGTACCCTCCAGGCTCCAGTCCTTCTGTGGGCTTTAACCAGTCTTTCAGCTTTCCTGTGGTGTGTGCTTGCTCTGTTTAGTCTCTCCTGGCTCAAAAAGGAGATGCTATGAAATGCAGAACAGCAGTGTCTGTAATTTGTGGGCAATTCTGTCTGTTAAGGGAGAGCTCTCCAAAGAAGCCCTTCATTTGAATTTGATATCAAATGTTAGTGGTCCTATTGCAAGAATGAATCCTATTCCTTTTGTGGCAAACAAGGGAAAATGTCCTTCTAATCACATAGTTACATCCAGGTTCTGTGCAGATTGGGCAGGAGGGTTTGGTTCCACAGGTGTGGGGATTTCAAAGCCACCTGCTTAAGCTTTACACATCAGGGCAGCTCAGCAGAGCAAGGACTGAATCCTTGGATTTGGTGTATATTAAGCAAAGGAAAGGGAAGGTCGCTGGGCAGGAGCAGTGCAGCAAAATAGCAGGTCAGTTCTGGGGGAGAATGAGCCCTTTCACAGGGTTTGGAGATAATTAGGAGGCCATTATCAGTATAGGGGTTATCAGCAAATTTGAGCCAGGGCTGGCCAACCTGAGCTATCAGCTCTGCTCCAGATCCTGTGCAGACAAAGGAATGGCTCTGGAGCATGGCTTTATTTCCACATGAGAGCATGATTTCAAACATAGACCTGTGCCAGTGCTGCATTAACAATGCTGAGGTCACAGAAATCATCAGCTTTGGCTGATACTGCCCCAAAATGGAAGCCACACTGTGGCTTCAGATCTAACACTCCCACATTCATCATTTAAAATAATTTTCTGTGTAATTTTTGTGCATATTTTAAAAAACCTTTAACATAATATATTCCATGTTTATTTAAATAAGATTTTAAATATAAAGTACACAAAACAAGACTCGCAGAGATAATGTTGTGAGCTTAGATATGGATTTCTGGACATCCTTGTTGACTGAGGTGCTTGGAGTAATACACGTGTATTTTGCCCAGAGGAGCTGTGGCTGCCCCGTGATCCCTGGAAGTGTCCAAGGCCACATTAGACAGAGCTGGAGCAGCCTGGGAGAGCAGGAGTTGGCCCTGCCCGTGGCAGGAGTGGGATGCTTCGCAATCCAAACCATTCTGGGATTCTTTTTATGACAGAAACTGTTAATAATAAGTAGGATTTGCTATGATTATTCAGGGCAGAAAATCTTATAATAATTCTCATTTTTCTGTGTCTTCCCAAATGTCACCCGTGGAAGGATGTGCATCCTCCATGCTTGTGAAGTTGGTTCTTGAGCTCAGTGTTCCCTTCTGCAGGCTGCAGGTGCTGGAGCAGCAGGTGGTCGGGGGGGAGCAGGTTCAGAATGAGGACCTGAAGGAAAAGCACAAACAAAAAAGGAAAAGCCAGAGGAAATATGCAGGAGGCTGCAGCTGGTGGCTGCCCTGCAGGAATCCCGCGAGGACAGCAGCGAGCAGGATCTCCTCAACGTCTACGACTCCATCCACGAGGAGGTTCGAGCCAAGAGCAAGGTGCAGGAGAAGGTGAGGGAGCAACTCCTTCCTCCTCCACATCCCCATTTTTTACATTACAGGGCTGTAGGTTTAGAGAGTGCCTCTGGCTGTGTCAGTATTTCATACGCCACTTTGTGTGTGTGAGCTTTTATGAAATCCCTCAGGTGGGGGATTAAGCTTTTGAAGCCCAAACCCCCCAAGTTGTAAAGGCTCGATGTGTGACGCTTGCCGGGAGGAGCATGTGTTGGGATGGGAGGGGATGTGACTCCCTCTGCCGACCTCCAGATCTGCTGCAGCTGCTGCCAGTTCTGAGCACGCTCTCTGGGGCAAGAAACAAAGCATAAAAGTAATGCTCTTAAATTTTACATTTAAAAGTCTTCATTTTCAAAGCACTTGAAAATCAGTTTTGCTCTGATAGTTTGTGGCAGAATCAGAGGGTCTGCAAAAAAAAAATCTACATTTTTGTGTACAGGCCTAGACCTGCACATGAAGGACTTACTTTATTTGAGTGTTTAGGTTATCAAAGAAATATTGCACCTTTTTAACCAAAGTTAGGACATTCCAGGACTTCAAAGACCACATCAGTAAGATTAACTTCAGGTTCATTCAAAAATCCCTGTGGAGAAACATGAGAAAACTTCCTTTAAAACAGGCATGGAGTAATCTCTCAAAACAAGTTTAATCCTAATTTGTACCTAAATTAGAACACTTTCCAAATATTGAAGCTTTCCTGAGTATCTTTCTGTGCTTGGCAAATTCCTGTACTTATGGTTTGCATTGGTCTCTCTGCCTTATAACCCTGATGGTTTGTGTCCAGCTCCAGGCTGCCGAGACCAAGATCAAAGACCTGCAGTTGGAATTTGGGCTGGAGAAGATGGATTTACCTGAGCACCATCCGGTGCCAGGAGCGAGACCTGCTGCTCTGCCAGCAGCTGCTGGGTCAGGTGCAGTCCCTTGTGCAACTAGAGCAACCTGGAAAAGCCCGTGTGGGACGAGGAGAGCGGCTGCTGGCTAATTCCAGAGCCTGTCATTCAGAGAACCCAGCTGCCCGCAGCTAAGGGGACAGTGCCCGGGGAGAGGAGGGCGCTGGGGGGACACGGAGGTGACGATGGTGTGCACTTCCTAGCATCTTCCAAAGCTGTCTGGAAAGTGTGAGCTACAAAGATGGCATGTGCTGCGGATCCCTCGGGAATCTGAGCAGGGAGTGCAGCCAGCAGAATGGCGATTGTTCTACACACAGCAACCCTTAACGCCATCTCTTCCCACAGCAGTTCCAGCCCTGCCACAGCCCAGACCTGGCCGGACAAGCCCCTCGAATGAGAGCAGGGTACGGTACGGCCCATTCCTCCTCCATTTCTATCCCATTTTACCCATTTTGCCTTACTGCTGGCGCTGCTGGCAGCGTTTGCCACCTGCAGCCCGAGGAGCACTACTACAGACTGGTGCTGCACAGCAGCGACGGCGAGACCATCGCCAGCAACTACTTCGAATCCCGGCGAGCCAGCCGGATTCTCCACCTGGACCAAGGTAATTCCCTTTTTCCACATATGGCTGGCACTCTTCATTTTCCTCCTCTTCCTTGAGAAATCAAGCGGCGACCCACCCAGGATCAATTCTGCTTCAACCCCTTGGCTTCTCAGGGTTTCTCGCGTTTTGGGTGCTGCGCTGACCCACCACACGCCCTTCCTCTCCTCTCGCAGCTCCTGCAGCATGCGCCAGGCCCGGCCCTCCGCCTGCAGTCCTGGCCGTGGCTCCCAGCGCCGGCACGGAGCGCGGGGATGGCGCTGGGCCTCCCGCGCCCGCGGCGCTGAGTCGCGACAGCGGCCGGGACGGGGCGCGACGGCGCTTGCGCCGCGTCCCAGCGTGGCGGAGCTGGCTGGCGCTGATTGGCTAGAGGCCGCCCTGCGCCGGCGCTGATTGGCTAGAGGCCGCCCGGCCCTAGCGCTGATTGGCTGGAGGCTGCCAGCCCATGGGGAAGTTGTGGGGCCGGAGCAAGATGGCGGCGGGCGCGGTGGCGGTGTGCGCGCTGCTGGCGGCGCTGGCGGCGGGCGCTGAGGGCGGGCCCCGCACGCTGGTGCTGCTGGAGAACGGCAACCTGCGCGACACGCACTCCATGTTCTTCCGCAGCCTCGCGGGTACCGAGCGGGCCGCGGCGGGATCCCGGGAGGGCTTGGATGGGGCGGGGGGAGCGGGCTTGGGGACCCAGGGTCAGGATGGGGGAGGAGGCTGGGGTTACCTGAGGGAAAAGGGGATGCTCGGGGTCTTCGGGTCAGGCCGAGGGAGGAGACTGGAGTCCCCTGGCTGGGCTGGGTGCGCAGCCAAGGGTCCCTTGCTGGAAGGGGCTCCTCTGTCCTCTTGTCAGGATGAGGAAGAGGGGGATGTTGGGATTCCCTGTTCAGGTTGAAGGAGGAGATTTGAATTGCTGCACCGGGCAAAGGGTGGAAATGGTAATTTCCGGGCAGAAAAGGGGGGTGTTTGGGGTTCCCATGTCAGAGTGGAGGAGGAGACTAGGGTCTCCTGTCAGGCTGAGGAAGCAGATCGGGGTCCCCTGAGGGAGAATGGGAGGTTTGAAGACTCCTGGTCAGTCTGTGAGAAGTGATGGGGACGCTGTGCCTGCATGAGAGAGGAGATTGGGTTCCCCATGTCAGAATGGGGGAGAAGATCGAGATCTCCTGGTCAGACAGAAAAGGAAATTGGTGTTGCTGGGGACAGAGGGTTGTTTGGGTTCCTCTGTCCAGAACGAAGAAGATTTGTGTCCCCATGTCAGGCTGAAGGAGGAGATTGTGAGGGGGGTGCTGTTGGAGTTCCCTGGTCAGGCTGAGTGAGAAGAAGGAGACCCCAAGCCAAGGGAGGAGACTGGGGTTCCCTGGAGGCAGGGGCAGGGTGTGGTGTGACTGTTTGGGGTCTCCTGGTCAGAAGGAGGCAGGAGATGGGGGTTGCTTTCCCAGCTGTGCCTGTGTTTAGCTCCCCTGCAGCATCAGTCCCTGTTTGATGGATGACAGTGAGGCATTCTTTGACATCAGGGCTCTTGAGGGGATCCACCCCTTGGGTTTATTTGGGAACTCTCAGGTGCTGCTCTTAAAAGGCAGTTTTTCCAAAGTGATCCTTCACTGGGGAAATAATCCTCTGACTCCTACTGCAGTTTTGCTGCTCCATGTGTGGTTTCATGGCATGCAGAAGTTGTCACTTTTGTGTCCTGGCTGCAGACAGGGGCTTCGACCTCACCTTCCGGACAGCAGATGACGCCGGCCTGTCCCTGATAAAGTACGGGGAATTCCTGTACGACAACCTCATCATCTTCTCCCCATCCATAGAAGGTAAATGCGGAGGGGAAAACTCTGGAGCTTGATGGCATTTTTGGAAGGGGATTTCCAGCTGTTCTGTGAATTTTAGTTAAGTCCTATGCTTTGGATGTACCCACTAGCAAACGGCAGCTCTGTCCCAGCCTTCATTGGTGGTTCTTCCATTGATTTGGTGAGCTGGTGGTTTATCTCTGCCAGGGGCTATTTTTGAGCTCTAGCCATGAATTCTTGTTGTTTGCTTTCAGACTTTGGTGGGAACATCAATGTGGAGACCATCACTGCGTTCATCGATGGCGGCGGCAGCGTCCTCGTCGCCGCCAGCTCAGACATCGGTGAGTGCAGGTGTTCCTCTGGAGAATTAATTCACTGCAGCAAAACCAGCTTCTCCTTGTGCACCTCAGGGCTTGCTCTGGGAGGAAATGGGTCATTCATGCCTTTAGTAACGAATTCAGTGGGGAAGTCGTGTTGCTCCCTGGGGTTTGGCTCATAGAGCGCTGAGCACACGACTCTTAGCTGAATTTACTGTGTGGTGTGACAGAGGGTCCCTTGTGTCCCTGCAGGTGACCCCCTGCGAGAGCTGGGCAGCGAGTGTGGGATCGAGTTTGATGAGGAGAGGACAGCAGTCATCGACCACCACAACTACGACATCTCCGACCCCGGCCAGGTAAGGGCCCTGCCTGCTCCTTCTGGCTGCTTTAACATGGGTGCAGAGCTTTAGGGGTGAATCCTCTGTCCTTGTGCTCCCGTTTTTCCTCCATCCCAGGAAGGTGGGAAATAATCCCTATTGCAACATTCAGTTCTGCTGCTGTCAGGACTCTTCAGGCTCTGGTTTCAGAGGGTCACCGTGTGCGGGCAGTGGGGCTGTGATTAATGCTGCTTCTGGATCTCTCTGAAGCTTGGGGGGGACTCTCACCTGAGGGTGAGGCGTGTCAGACACCGAGTGCGACGTGTCAGGTGTGGGAAGGGAGATTTTCAGTCCCAGATTTTCAGCTCAGTATAGAAACACACAAGCATTTCTTCAATTTTGCCTGCCTGGTGTAATCCAGCATTTTAAAATTAAAACACATATTAAAGTCTGAGCTAAATATACTTTGGTAATTTTTGTTTAAGGTAAACTGTTGAAGCAGTATGTACGTGCACCTTGACCTGATTTGAGGATGAAGGTTGCTAAATGCAGGGAAATAAAACACTGTAGGTGTTGCTGTCTTTATCAATGGCAGTTTGTATTTCCTTGAAGATCAGTATTAACCTAATTTGATTATAAACACACAAATGCTGTTGTTTTGCTTTTTAATTGAACTACAATGCTCACCCAGTAGTTGTAATTGTCTGTAAAAATAAACTTTTAACTGAGAAGCTGTTGTTTGTCATTAGACCCCTCTCAGCTCACACAGATCTCTGTTTCCCCAGCACACGCTGATCGTGGCTGACACTGAGAACCTCCTGAAGGCCCCCACCATTGTGGGAAAAGCAGCACTGAACCCCATCCTGTTCCGAGGAGTTGGGTGAGCAGCAGGGGGTGAGGTGGGGGAAGACAGTTGAACCTGTGGTGTTGCTGTGAGGTGAGGTGGCGTCAGCCTCTGGGGCTCTTAATGTGAGCTTAACAAATCTCTCTTGATTTCAAACAAAAATAGAAGGAAACCCTGCAAACTAGTTTAGTTGTTCACTTAGGAATGGTTGCTAACAAAATAGTGGAGGAAATAGTTTCTCAGCAGGTAGAAGGGTGAGAAGGTCCATGGGGTTGAGGAGGTGGCCACATGTTCCTCTGGGTGCAGGGACCCTGGGGATGTTCGTTCTGTTCACTGTGGCTTTCCCTGCAAGGATGGTGGCTGATCCTGACAACCCATTGGTGCTGGATATCCTGACTGGCTCTTCTACCTCTTACTCCTTCTTCCCAGATAAGCCCATCACTCAGGTATGCTCCCTTCCTTTCTCTTCTGTTTTGGCCTGTGCTTCTGCAATTTAGTCCCTCTAACTTCAGCTGCTTGGGAAAATCCTGGAGTGTTTGATCTCCTGACTGGTTTTTAAAGGATTGGGCTGTTGGCTGCTTCCTGATCTTGTCTGCCTCTCTGCTTTCTGCTGGTGAGGAGGTGTTCAGTGTGAGGGACACGTGAGGAGAGGCCAGCCTAGATCAAAGCATCTCTCCCATTCCATCCCGTCTGGAGTGGAACCAGAATCCTATTCCTGCTTTTTCTGAGCTTCATGGTTACTCCTTAATTGCAGCTGGTGCTACTACAGCCAGACTGTCCCAGCCCACAGCGGAGTGCTGTTGGTGCATCCCCAAGGGGGCTGAGCCCGGTTCCCGTTTGCTCCGCAGTACCCGCACGCGGTGGGGAAGAACACGCTGCTGATCGCGGGGCTGCAGGCGCGCAACAACGCCCGCGTCGTCTTCAGCGGCTCCCTCGACTTCTTCAGCGACGCCTTCTTCAATTCTGCCGTGCAGAAAGCGACTCCCGGCTCCAAGAGGTGCGTTGGCTTCCCTGGCTGAGGAGTGTTTGGGGAGCACTTTGAGGGCAGAACTCCTGGGAAACGGGCAACAAATGTTTATGGAAGGAGCAGAAAGCTTGAATTGGGGTGACACATCCTTTACTATGTCAGAACAAAGTGCTTTGGAAAGCAGCTCCTTCCTTTCACCTCGGCTCAGTTTGTGTTGCTTTCTCCTCTGTTTGCTTTGGGTTTGGGCCATGGGGTATTTTCTCGGCTGTCTCAGCCTCCCTTGTTGCGCAGGTACTCCCAGACAGGTAACTACGAGCTGGCCGTGGCCCTGTCCCGCTGGGTGTTCAAGGAGGAGGGCGTTCTGCGCGTGGGCGCCGTGTCCCACCACCGCGTCGGGGAGCGGGCACCGCCCAACGCCTACACCGTCACCGACCTCGTGGTGAGGCCGCCGGGCGGGGCAGGGCCTGCAGGGAGGAATTGGGCAGCGCTGGGGCTCGGGGTGGGCCAGGCTGGTTTACAGGCATCGCTGGTTAATCTGTCCCAGGAGTACAGCATCGTGATTGAGAAGCTCGCTGACGGCAAGTGGGTGCCCTTTGATGGGGACGACATCCAGCTGGAGTTCGTGCGCATCGACCCCTTCGTGCGCACCTTCCTCAAGAGGAACGGTAGGTCCCCACCATGAGGAGCAGGAGGTTCCCCCCTAGGGGAGCAGTGGGTCCCCTCAAAATGAGCAGGGGGTCTCCATTGCTGCCCCGGCCACACATTTGGGGGTTTTTTCACCTTCCACAGCTTCTCGTGTCCCCTCAGTGTCACCTGTTTCTCCCTCAGGTGGCAAATACAGCGTGCAGTTCAAGCTGCCGGACGTCTACGGCGTGTTCCAGTTCAAAGTGGATTACAACCGGCTGGGATACACCCACCTCTACTCCTCCACACAGGTAGGCACAGGGGAGTGAATGCTCCGTGTCCCAGGAGGAAAGGCTGCCCCAGGCTGCTGGGCTGCAGGGGCTGCTCTGTCCCCCACCAGGTGTCTGTGCGTCCCCTCCAGCACACGCAGTACGAGCGGTTCATCCCCTCGGCATATCCCTACTACGCCGGCGCCTTCTCCATGATGGTCGGCCTCTTCATGTTCAGCATCGTCTTCCTGCACATGAAGGAGAAGGAGAAATCCGACTGAGCTCCCTGTGGGAGCCTTTTCCCAGCGCCAGGGGGGCTGGGCAGTGCTCAGAGCCTCCCGTGTATCCGTGTCAGGACTGGTGGGTGCCGGGTGCACTGTGGGGCTGTGTTTGGTCTTTTTCATTTTTACACCTGGGGGGTTATTGAGAATGACAAATTCTGGGGGGAGAATCTGTTACCAAGGTATCTGCATCCCAGGACCAGGATGTTTACTGATGAGTTGTGATTTTTTGCTCGCTCCACTGTTGGGACGATTTGGGTTGGAGTCGTGTTGGAATGATATGGGTTGGAGTTGGGTTGGAATGATTTGGATTGCAGATTAATTCCCAGTTCAAAATAAAGTCTCGTTCCTCTCATCCTCCATGGGAATAAGGCGAGTTCATGCCTGGGGCATTCAGATGCATTCCTGAACTGGGGGCTGTGTCCCCACCAGGGTGGGAGGGGAGGGAGCAGTCAGGTTGTGCTGGGGCTGGAGAGTGCTGAGAGGCAAAAGGGGGAGTCTGGGGCACACAGGGGGACTTGGGACACCCCAAAAAGTACAACAAAGGGTCTGAGGTGTCACCAAAGGCACATGGAGCAGGACAGGGCATGTCAAAACCCCCTCTGTCCCGCATAATCCAAACATGTGAGTTGAGGGGCACACCAAAAGCTCAGCAAGGGCCAGGGATCGCCCCAAATGCACACTGAGGGGTCTAGGGGGGAAAAAATCGGCTGGAATCCCAAGAAAATTGGAGTGAAGTGGAAGAGCTGAAGTGGGGGCAGAGGTGTGAGGTGGAGTGAGTGGCTCTTGGGGTGCACGTGGGCTGTTTTGGGATGGAAGGTGGAGAAATGACAGTGGGAGTGACGGGGTGTGAGGAACGAGTGAATGAAAGGATGGAGGTGATGATGGGGCCTTGGGGGGCAGTGGGTGGGCTACAGGGACCCATGGGGATCCTTGGGACACAGTGACCATCAAGGATATCCCCCGGGGGTCACCTAGGGACATCAGGGACCACCAGGGATCCTTGGGGAGACGGGAACGGCCGGAGGACATCTGGGGACACCAGGACCACGGGTGACACGGGGATCGCCGGTGACCAGTGACGCCCAGGGACATGGGGAGCCCCGGGGATCCCAGAGGAGTCCCGGGGACACGGAGATCCCAGGGGGGCCCCGGGGACCCCAGAGGAGCCCCGGGGATCCCAGAGGTGCCCCGGGGACACGGAAATCCCAGGGGAGCCCCGGGGATCCAGAGGAGTCCCGGGGATCCCAGAGGGGCCCCGGGGACCCCAGAGGAGTCCCGGGGAATCTCAGAGGAGTCCCGGGGAATCTCAGAGGAGTCCCGGGCCCGCGGCGCTGCCCCTCCGGCCCCTCCCACGTGCCGGCGCGCGGAGGGGGCGGGGCCTCCCGCTCGGCGCTCTCTGATTGGCCGGGCGGCTCGGATTGACGTGGGCGCCTGACCGGCGGGGCGGGCGCTTTGCGACGGCGGCGCTTGACGGCGGCGGCGGCGGCGGGTGCGGGTCCGGGCGGGGGCGGCCATGCTGCTCACCGTGTTCTGCCTGCGCCGCGACCGCTCCGAGATCACCTTCAACCTGCAGGTGGACGCCGACTTCGAGCTGCAGAACTTCCGCGCCCTTTGCGAGCTGGAGTCCGGCATCCCGGCGGCCGAGAGCCAGGTCAGGGCCTGCCCCCGCCCCGAGCGCCGGGGAGGGCCGGGCCGGTGCCCCCGGGCCGGGGGCGGCCGTGGCCTCTTCTCCCGCAGGGTCGGGGTCTCCCGGGCTGGGGGCGGCCGTGTCCCCCACGCCCCCGGGGCCATCCGGAGTTTGGGCTTGTTTGGGGCGGTGGGTCCCTCCCGGTCTCTCCCCTCACGGACCTTTGGGCTTTGGGGAGAAACCGCTCGCTTTTCACTCCAAGTCCGCTCGGGAGAGGGCTCCGCGTCCCCAGGGACTTGTGGTCCCCTCTGGGAAAGGCTCGGTCCGCGCCCGCCGTGCAGCTGAAAGGGAGAAAATAATGTGGGTTTGTTTTGGTTTGTTTTATGTGGAGGTTTCGGAGGAATTTGATGTTTAAACGGGGCAGGAATTGGAGCGAGGGGAACAGGATTCGCAGCGCGGGGAAGGTGGGGGTCCGTGGTATCCTCGAACGCCGGGAAACGGGGCTGAAATGTTCGGGAAAGGATTATTTATCCCATCAAACGCCTGCCCGGTCTGGGGCGGAAAGGGCGCATTGAGTCTTTTCCTCCTTTTTTTTTCCACACAGGTGTGGGGACCGAGCAGGCACATCCGTGTGGTTTTGCCAGCAAATATCCCCCTCCAGCCCGGATTGGGGGCTCACTCGTGTACCAAACGTGGGGGAGGCTGCGCTGGGGGCGGCTCTGGGCCATCTGTCTGGGCTTTGCTCATGTTTTGGGTTCAGTCCCGCGTGTTTGGCCGTTCCTCCCGTTTGTCCTGGGCAGGGCGGTGTCGGCTCCTTTGCTCGGCGCCGGCCGTGCCTGGCAGAGTTTGTGGAGTTTGGCGGTGGTGGCTTTTGCTTCCCGAGCCTTTTCCCAGTCTAAATTAACAAAGTGTTTTTCCAGCCAAGCCAAGATTAGTCAGCGCTGGAAGAACTGGTGCAGGGGCAGCCCTGGGGCTGTGGTGTCCCTCACCCAGCAGGTTCCTGACGTTTGGCTTTCCCTCTGTCTTGGGAGAGCCTTGTTTTCTGGAATGGGAGGTTGGTGATGACAGAGAAACAGTCTTAGAGCAGGGGTAGGAAATCCAGGTAGGGTGGATTCTCTTTTAGGAAAAAAACCTCTTGGTTTTGGGCAGGTGGAAAGGGAGAACCCACCTCACACAAAGGTTCTCAGCAACCCTCCTGTGTCTGTCACAGCCCTCAGTGAGCTCCCAGGTCTGAGGACAGCCCCTGCATGGGGGACTCTGCAGTGCCTTTGACATCTCCAGGCATGAACTGGAGCATAAACTCCTCGCTGTCACCTTTGTCCCTTGTGTCAGGGTGACCTGCAGCTCCGGGTCTGGTTCAGGGTAACGAGGGGTCACTCCTGCGTGTATTTTTTGTCAGCAGTGCCCTTGTTTGAGATTTTCCAGCCCAGCTGACCTGTGTGGGGTTTGGGTGCTGCCAGCCCCGGGCGAGGGGAGCAGCGCTGCGCTTTTGTAGCCACCTCTGCCTTCCTTCTGCTCATCCATCTGCCACCCGTGCATCATCCTGTGCCGCGTCGTGCCGCGTTTGCCAGGCTGATATTTATCACTCCTCTCTCTTCTCTTCCTCCCTGGTGTGCGTGAGGTGTTTTGAGGAGCTTCAGTGGGGAGAACAAGTTAGGCATAGGAGGAATTTCTTCATGGGAAAAGGGTGGTCAGGCCTTGGCAGGGGCTGCCCAGGGAGGTTTGGAGTGCCCATCCCTGGAGGTGTCCAAGGAAGGGCTGGATGTGGCACTCTGGGCTGGGGACAAGGTGGGGATTGCACCTAATGATCTTGGAGGGCTTTTCCAGCCTCATTGATTTTTTCCAGCCTCAACTTCCTGTGTGAAATTTATAAAAATACAAGTTACCAGATAAGCAGCTTCTTGTGTCGAAGGATTTTGCATTGTTAAATCACAAATAGGCAGTTTTGCATTTACCAGACTTGGCTGTTTTCTGCCCTTTTTCCTTGGCCAAGGTGAATGTTGCATTGAAGGTGCTGTGTTGGCACTGGAAAGGATGAATTTCATTGTGAGGGTCATGCAGGGTGGAGTAAACCACTCAGTATGTGGAGGAAGGTTAATCCCAGCCTTGTTCTCTGCTGGTTTGGGCAGTGAATTCCGGGTGCTGCAGTTTGGGGTGGGGCAGGGAGCTGTGAGGTGTCCAAGGGACACTGTGGGCACACGTCTGAGATAACAGAGGGAGCTGCTGGTGGCTGTGGTGATAAGAGGAGCTGGGCGAGGCGAGGGGAAATAATCTGACTTTCCAGTCTCCTCCACACACGAAGCCTTGGCTTTCTGGGAGAGGGGACAGGAGGCTCTCAGCAGAGCCACACTCTTCATTCCTTGACTTTGTTTATTTTCTCTGCGTGCCCTCCATCTGTGCCGTGCTCAGGAATATTTGCTGGGCCCAGGAGTTGGCTTGATTGATGGCTGCAGGTGGTATCCAGCACTCTGGCTGGGCTTCCCCGCTCCATAGGAAGGCTCTACCCTCTGGCATTGTGCACAATGAATCCATCGGTGCCTGCATCCCTGTCTGAGTCACCTCCAGAAGAACCCGTGGCTGGTGCCTGCCAGCCAGCAGAACTGCCACCAACCAGACAATCAAAAGGCAGCAAAATCCAATCAGTTTGTTTTGAGATTGGGGCAGAATGGGTCAGGAGTGGATTAATCTGTGCTGCTAATGGACGTGGCGAGTGCCAGGCGCTTAATTCATTGTCTGGGATGTAAGGCCGAATGCTCATAAATCCAATCCCAGCAAGATGACAGAGGTAAAGCCTCACTTAAACTGATTAACTTGTCTCTTCCAGAGTGTCTGCGCAGGGAATGTGCCACTTCAGATTTGGGTGTGCAGCTGGGATTTATGACATGCTGGTTGTCACTGCAGTGGCATCGACTCAGGCCGGTAACTTGAGAGGCTGTGCCTGGCTCTGCCAGCACCAGCTGACCTTGGTGGTGCCAGCTGGGGTGGAGGCCACTCGCCTTCAGATCGCTGCCCATGACCCTGGGAGAAACCCGGGGTGTGAGGCAGCGCTGAGGCTGCACGCTCCGGTGGTGGGGAGGAGGCAGGAAGCTCGTGCCTGGTTCCATCACACATTTCTCCAACTCTCTGATTGCTGCCCCACGAGCTTCTGGTGGTTTGTGTTCCTCCTGCCTCGTCTTGCCTTGCACTGCTGCTGGAGATGGGTCTCCACTGCTGAGTGCTGCAGGGAGAGTCTGTGTAAGATATTGGAGCTGCTGGAGTGAAGCAGTGAAAGTCTGTAGTGCCAGCCAGACCTTAAGACAGGTAGTGATTGATTTTTTGGCACCTCGTTGGATCTGCTCCCTGTGATAGCATCAGGCAGAGTCACAGCCCATCCTCGCCAGGACTGTGAAAGCTCTTCTCACATGGCTCAGCCAGCCCTGACCTGTGGCAAACGTGTTGCTGAACTGGCCTTTTCCAGCCCCAAAGAGAGGAGGTTTGGCTAAACAAAGTGGTATTTGTGAAATTTGATCGTCTGCCTGAGGGGTTTAGGCCAAGTTCTCCATAATCTGGGCTGCTGCCAGGGCAGGAGGTGGCTGGGCTGATCTTCCTGGTCTTGTTGTGCTCCAGTGACAGCACAGAAACCTTTGTTGCCAGATGCCATTTCTGGGAACTTCTCTTCCAGCTTTATGTTACATTTTGGGCTTTCCCAGAACTTAGGACCTCTGTAGGGGGTATTACAGGCCTGATGTTC